CCCCCGGGATCTTGCAATTGAGGGCCGCCGGATCCCCCCGCCCTTTGCTGCGTCCAGGCGTGGCCCCAAGGCTGCCCCAATGCTGGCGGAGGCCATGGCGGAAGCCATGCGAGCCTCCCTGGCCTCTGGCGCCGGCGCCTGCCTCAACACCCTGCTCCACGCCGCCGACCGCGCCGGCTCGCCCGCCGCCACGGCGCGCCCCGCGCTCGCGCCGCACATGCCGCGCGTGTTTGCGGAGGCCGCGCGGCGCGGCGCCCGCGGCGCGCTGCAGGCGCTGCTGGTGTGCTTGCCTGAGCATTTTGAGGCGCTCGGGCCTGAAGCTCTGGAGGCGGCGGCGGCGGCCGGCCAGCACGGCGCAGCGGCCGACATACGGCTGCTTCTTAGCATGCGTGCCGGCGTGCAGGAGCCGGCAGTGGAGTTACCGGCGGCGGCGGCGGCGGCGGCGGCGCGCAACGCGGGCCTGGAGCACGCGGCTTCGCTGGGCGCGGGGTCAATCCCCGATGCGTGCGTGTACATCGACGCCTGCCCCAGCCCGGGGGGTGTCCCTGCCGCCGCACCCTACCCCAAGGAGGCGTGCGGCACGGGCAGTGGCGGCAGCGACGGCAGCGGCAGCAGCGGCGGCGCCCCCTGCAGCAGCGCAGGCAGCGACTGCAGCAGCGCAAGCGCGGCGGGCTGCTTGGCGCGCGCCGACAGCGCGGTGTGCGACAGCGAAATGGCGGACAATGGGCGGGTGGGGGGCGGGGTGCATGGTCACCACTACCAGCAGCAGCAGGAGCAGCAGCAGCAGCAGCGGCAGCGGCAGCAGCAGCAGCACGTGCACCCTCATGCAAGCAGTGGCGGCGCGACGCCGCCGCAGCAGCGGGTGGGCTCAGCTGCCCCAGTGCATCCCTACATGCGTCGACCCTGCAGCACCAGCAGCGCCGGCGAGTCATCCCTGTCGGGCTCCCCCGCCAATGCAGGCCCCGCGCCCCCGCCGCCCCAGCAGCAGCCCCAAGCGCCGCGCGGCGCCACGCCGGGCGGCGGCGGCGGCGACGCGCGGCTCCGCGCGTCGCTGCGGCGCGCGATATGCTGCGACGACGTCGCGCGGGCCGCGCTGCTGCTGACAGAGCTGGTGGATGCGACGGAGCGGCCTCAGGGCGCCGAGCGGCAGCAGCAGCAGCAGCAGCCCTTGGACGCGTTTGTGTTGGACCTCATCTCCGCAGCGGCGGCCGCGGGCGCGTGCGACTGCGCGCACCTGCTGCTCACCGCCATCGGCGGCAACGACGACGGCGAGCTCAAATCACGCGCCGCGCGCGCGCTGTGCGCCGCCGCCGCCGCGCGCGGCCGCTGCGCGCTGCTCCGCGCCGCCTCGGCGCACCACCCGTGGGTCGCCGCGGCGATGGCCGCTGGCGGCGCTGCGCTCGGGCGCGAGTGCCTGCGCGCGGCGATCCTTTGCGCGCACCCGCACACGGCGGTGTGGGTCGCGCGGTCGCTGCCGTGCGGCCGGGGGCACGCCCAGGCTGCCGCCGACGCGCTGCTGGCAGCACCTGCCTGGCAGCTGCGCGGCGAGCTCGAGGCGCTCGCGGGCGGCGGCGGCTGCTGCGGCGGCGGCGGCGGGGGCTGCGGCCTGGCCAAGAAGCGGGCGGCGGCGGCGGGGGCGGCGCCGGACGCGGGGGCGCTCGTCGACGCGTTTTCGCGTGCGTGGGCGGCGGCGGCCAGCTGACCGCGCGGCGTGCGTGGGCCGACTTGATCATCAGCATGATGCTGTGCGGGCGCGGCCCTGGTGCAAATGAAATTTCTCGTGGCAGCTGCTCGGCGGGCGCTTGGCGGATGTCGGCGCCCACGGGCAAACCAGTTACGGCCTGCCCGGCGCGGCGCCGCCGCTCGCGGCCCCCACCCTCGCGTCTGCCCGTTGCGCGGCGGCTCGCGGCTCTGCACTGTCGCTGGGTGTGGCTGAGCCAAGTTGGCACTGCCCCTGGCCCAGGGGCTTATCGCTGCCTTCCCACCCACGCTCATACAAGCACTACGATGGGTAGGTCCTTTATGATATTCCGCTCATCGCGTCGGGACCGGCCCGGCCCGGCAGGCATGCCCACAATGCAGCTCGCACCAGCCGGGGCCTCGCCGCCGCTGCAGGCGGCGCCTCGCTCGGCGCCCCGCTGCGGCCGGGGCGGTCTCTTTGTTTTTCCTGAGTCTGCAGTGGTGCCCAAAGCTAGGCTGGGCTCGCAGTGCTGCTACATGCGGCCGGCGGCCAGGGCCCGCCGCGCGCGCGGGCTGCGCCCGCAAGGGAACAGCTGTACACCGCGCACCCAGCGTGCCCCGCGAGTGGGGGCGTGCTGTAATGCATCTGCCCAGGCTGGCGCCACGCCGGCCGGGGCCTGCCTCAAATCATCAGCACTTGCACGCGCACCCCGTCGTTTGTCAAAGCGCTGCCCCTGGCGGGAGTTTGGAGGGAACCTGAGTCGGAAGAGGCTTTGAGCAGTGTTGTATGGAGGGCGGTCGATCGAGGAAGAAACTAGCAACGCCCTCGCCGGCGGAAGCGAGATGGGGCAAGCTGGTCAAGAGCCGCACCCCGACTTGTTAGCACTGCACCGATGCACGGACGCGCCGAGCGGGACCGCCGCCGCCTGGGTGGCCGTGCCCACGCGGAATGGCCGTCGCTCGGCCTGCTGCCCACCGGCGGCCGCCCCCTTCCAGGGGCGTTCCCACGCCCCCTTGAGGGAGGCTTTTGGATGCATCAGCATACAAAGGTGCATTTATGTATGTTTTGCAAGGGGCGGGGCGCTCCAACGCCCCGTCACCAGTTGTGCTGACGCACGCCTCCCCCTGAGCTCGGACATGGCACAAGCACCAGCATTCCGCCATGCCACACCCCCTTGGACCCTCCTTTGCCGCCTGTCGTGCCAAACAGTGGCCTTGGCATCAAGCGGGGGTCCTGGTGGTGTGTCCTGAACCAACTTGGATGGGGAAGTGTCGCTGAGGGCTCATGTGAGCGAGGAGAGGAGGTTGGGCAGACGTTGCCCCCAAGGGCCACTCCTGGCGGCCGGCCGCACCCGCCGTTTTGGGCGGCCCGTTGCGTGCACGGCGCTGGGCGTGTGCCACTGGGAGCTGCGTGCTGAAGTTTATGGCGCAGGGGGCACCCCACCCCCCCCATCGCGGAGCAGGCCGCCCATGGGCGCCTTGTGGCGTGCGGGCCCCAAGCGCGGGGTGGCTCGGCGCCGCCGCGGCCCTGCCGCCGACGCGCCCTTGTTTTTACGAGCCGTCTGGCTCGGTCAAGGAAAGTGCGACACAAGAGCCCTTCGTGGGGCTCCGCTGTCGCCGGTGTTTTTTTGTTGTAGCTCCACACTGTTCAAGCCGGGCATGCCCACACTCCAGCCGCCCCCCCAATGACGCCCGCGGGCGCGCCGCCCCGCCGTCACCTTTGTTGAACTGAACATAAACACCAAGCTGCGCCCGTTCCCGACCGATGACACGCGCCTGTCGCATCCCGCTTGTGTCTCGCATTTTTCACCGAGCCTTTTGGGGCGCGCGCACGCGGGCTCCCGCGGAGCCGGCGGGCGCGCGTCCGGGGGCGGGGTCGTCCGTGCGGCGCCGTGCGCGCGGCCGCGCTCCCTCACCTGTATAGTAGTTGCTCATGCATACATCACGCATACATCACGCTGACACGCCCTTCCAGCCCGCTGCTGGTGTGTGGAGCTGGGTCGCGCCGCATACGCGGAGCCCAGGCGACGGACGGATGACAAAGCAGGGGCTGTCGTGACCCAGCTGCATGAAACCTGTGTGTCGCCCGCGCGTCCTTTACGTGCTGCTGCTGATCTGAGCCGCGGGGGGAAGCGAAACCCATACATCTGGCCTGGCGCCGGCGGCGCGAAGGCGCCAGACCCCTGCCAGTGTCCGCCCTGCCGCCCTGCGACGCGGGACTTGCGCCACCCATGGCTGCGCTGCTGAACTTTTTTGAATATGGTGGTGTCTGTTTCCAGTCGCCCGCCCGCGGCGAACGCGGCAGTATGCGCACCCCGTGCTTTGCCACAGACACCCAAAACCTCCCGTTGACGTGCGCCTTGGGGCCTGCCCAGCGCGCCTGTCAGATGCGGGCTGTGCCGCGGGCCTGTTTGTGAGTTTTGTTTTGCACAATGTGCTGCCCTCTTGACCAAAACAACCCCCGATGGCCCTTGTGCTCGTCGCCCATATAGCCCCGCCTGATCCTTTTGCACCACCGCCGGCCGCCGCAGCGGCGTCCCGCTCGCCAGAAACCGAACTGTGCACGTGCGCGGTTGCACGGCGTCGCCTCGTCCAGATCACAGCCCTTTCCTGTGACCGCTGCGCCCCACAATCGCTTTGAACCGGAACACGTCCCTGTCGGCCATCCCTAGTGTGCAGCACTTGTAACCAAATCCGGTTGCGCTACTACCCCTGCTCTTGGGGGCCCGGTAAACAAACAGCAGCTCGCTGCATGAGGAGGGTCAGAGAAGTGAAGAAAGCCGGGCGGCACAAGCCGGTTCCTGATTGAGTCATGGCTGGTGCATGCAGTGACGGCACCCCTACTCCCCCGCGCCCCCCCCGCCAGCGCTGACTCTCGGCGCCCCCCGCCGTCCGAAAAGGAGTTAGGCCTGGAGTGTTACAAGGTCCTGTGTGTGCTCGCCCGCTTTTGGAGCCGCCCAGCAAGCATATCAAACCAGCTTGCAGAGCAATGCATCGGCTTGCAGAATGATGCATGTGTAAGATGCTGGGCCTGGAACCTGCTCGCGCTCAACAGAGCAAGCATGGACCAAGGCCATCAGCGATATTGGCTTGACCAGCTCAGCTGCGCATGCCACATCAAGCCCGTGATGCAGGGATTATGCATGCAGGTGAGCAAAGAGGGGGCAGCTGGACCTTGTTGTCAGCAATGCAGCCCCCAATGACATTCATTCATGCCGGGTAAGCGCCAAGAAAGCGATCCGATGCAAATGATTGTGTAGCTGGGTCCAATGATACCTGACATCCACTGGTGATTACTGTGCGGAACCGCCGCAGCTTTGACCTTGTGCGTGCACCACTGGGTATTGCAAGAAGCAGTCAATCCATCAGGTAATCAGAATGTGTGGTCAAATGCAACGTGTGCCATATCAAACAGTAACTGCCTGCCTGCCCCTCCGACCGCCGGCGCAGGGGCGGGGGCGGCAGGCGCCGCGAGGGATGGGCTGGGGCTGGCGTGGGCCTTCTTCTTGATGCAGCGGGTGCCTGTGACGCAGGTGACGCGGCGCAGGGCAAACTTGTCAAGGTTCCTTGGAGGGGAACACAGCGCGTGGATTCTCCTTAGCACTCTTCGGCCACTTTCCAGGCTCCAGATGGGTTCTCAAACACCTCGTCCCACCCTCGCGCCGCCCTGAAGCTAGCCGGCCGCACCGGCGCCCGAACTCACCGCCGCCGCTGAAGCAGATGAGCATTGCAATGATGAAGAGCACCATCACCACCACGCCCGCCATCACGAGCTTCATCTTGCAGTTCTGCCACCACATCTTGCGGCGCAGGGCGCGGCCGCTCTTCACGAACCGGTCCGCCTGCGATGTCCGAGATTTGCGGTGCACACGCACGCACCGACGTGTGCCGGGAGCGGGCAGGGAGGACCGTGCTCACTGCAGGGCAAACCATGAGTGGCTCTGCTTTTGCCCCGTCAGCACCATGTCACTCCCCTCAGCTGGTATCCAGACCAGGAGGAGGAGATCATTCCAGATCACTCCAGATCGCGTCACCAACCTCGAACAAGAGGTTGTCCGTCTTGTCCACCAGCAGGTCCAGCTGCTCCCCCCTGGCCAGCACCTTCTCGATGTTGTCACCCATGATGTTTTTCACCTCCTCCACCTTTCAGGGGTTGAATGCCGTGCGCGCCAGCCAGGGGCATGCCTGAAAGCAGTATGACGCGCACACCAGGACAAAACCACTGGCGTTGGCAACAAGGGTGCACACCAGGCGCAATCAATGAAGGCGCCAGCACAGCCCAGGCCGGCACGTACCTTTTTCTGGACGCTTGAAACCTTGGAGTACTCCTCTGGGAATTGGGTGGCGTGCTCCATCAGGTCCTTCAGCTTGTTCCTGAGCAGCAGCAGGAGGACCGCAAGTTGTGGCAGTGCAACTCATTTAGACACGATGACGTGCATCTCGTGTGGCCCGATTGGTGGTTGCTAATCTGTGCTCGGCGGGCCACAAACCATACGAGGCGCAGCGGGCTTTCTTGTTGAGCAGAGGTTGGACGGGAAGCTGTCTGAGCGCCCCTGGGGCCAACCCATGCTTGGAAGCCGTCCTGGTCGGCAGGCGCCCTCCTGCCAGTCACCCCGGTGCAGCGAGCAGCATGGGTTGGCCCCGTGCACACGCACCTGTAGTTGCTCAGACCACCCTCAGGAACGGTCTTGCCCTTGTCGCCATACCTTGGAGTGGATAGCGGTTGTTGGTAGTCAGCAGTGGGGGAAGGTGCGGCCTATTTCAATCCTTCTGTGCAGACAGCTGCGCTTCGCGACTTCCCAAAGGCTGTGTAAGGCAAAGGATGCTGCTCAGAGAACACTGCACCAGCCACCGTGCTATGCATAGCTGCCCAGGGCCACTGTCCGTTCCGACAACACTGCAGGCACCGATAGCACGTTTTTATATGATTTGTGCTGCTGCTGTTGAGCGGCTGGCCTTGTGAATCTTGACCAATCTTGGTGAAGACTGCACCTATCCAGCCTGTGTGGCACTCGTTCCAATGCAGCCCCACCTGTCCACAAAGTCCTGCTTGAGGCGATCCAGGAATGCGTTGGGTATGGTGCGCCCCGCGGCATCGTCCGTGACGACGACAAAGTCTGGCATTTTGTGTGGCGGGGCGCGGCAGGTGGGGATGGCGGGCCGAGGGGTTGGCGTCGCTGGGAGCTCTTGGCTGGACTGTGGCTCAGGGTGAGGGGAACCACGCAACGATATGCCACTCGCGGCGGTCCCAGCTCAACCAATTCTTTTTTTCCTCAAGCGCTTATCAATTTCAAGTGGATTTTGCTAACAGGAGCTCACTGTATCCGTCCTCTGCCAGGAAGCTGAACAGGTGGTTGTCGACTGTGTGACTAAAGCGCCCTGCCCCTTGTGCCTTGGACAGGCAGTCCTTGGCAACGGGGTTGAAGTTGCCGGCAAAGACGCTGTAATCAGCCAGCACAGCCGCGCCGCGCGCGACGGCGCTGTAGATTAGCGGCATGTGGGGCCGTGGATGCGCTGTGCTCTACAGGGGAGATGGGGCACGCCGGTGGCGTTGTGGCGACCAGGGGGGATACGATGCGTGCCTGTGGCAAACGGGATAAGGTCAGGACGCGAAGGAGGGAGCATGTTGATCTTTAAATCAGCCGTGCCAAGGAAGGCCGACGCCATGGGCTTGCCTCTTGCGGGTGCCTGCAACAACGAAGATGTAACGCAGCGCATGCAGCGTCGAGGCGTGCGCACCCTCTGCGCCATACGGCAAGTAGCCGCTGTCACATCAGAAAAACGTAAAGTATGCTTCACCTACGCTGACGGCGCTCACCTGTCCAGCTGAACCCGCAACCCCCACTTTGGCCTTCGCTCGGCCGAACCGACGCTGCTGTTGCAGCGGGTTCACGAGATGGTAGAGCCAACCAAGAAAATCGATTGTCGATTCAATGCCTCTTGATACTCGTGAAAACTTAGTGCGCCCCGCCAAGAATTTCCGCTTGTCCACTCTCTGACACTGTCGAGCGCTCGCTTGGTGCCGTATGCGTGCTTGTAGCATGCACGCGAGTTCCCTTGCCTCAAAACCTGGCTTCAATAACAATATTAATTGCTGGAGCTCGTGTTGGGGCTTCAGCCGATCTCGTGCCAAGCTGCAACATCACTGCTCTCGACTCTTGTCATCTCCTGACCTTGGCGCAATACACGTGGAGCAGCGATATGGGCCTGTAATGGATGAATCCACACAATCAGAATGCTTGTACAGAATAGGCAAGTAGTGCATCACTCATTGCGCGATAGTCAGCAGTCCACACGGTGCATTACCAGTCCACGTTCAGATGGCCGGCTGGCCGAGATTTATCTGTTGCGTGATTGTGTAATATTGAATTATCATAGCAGTGATTCCACTGAAGATGATAGCCAGCCATTAGGAAGGCCTTCAAGCACGCTATGTCAGGCTGCACACCCCACTGAGCCTGGCCTGTGCCCACATGGGTGGTGCACGTGTTGACATGCTTGGCACTGGGACTCCGAGGAGAATGCTCTACATACTGAGGGGCTTCGGGAAGGGTTCAGCTGATCCTCAGTATGTGCTACCCATGCGTCACCATGCTGAGCCATAGCAGCTTGCACACCCGAAACAGCTGGCGCAGCCGCACCCAGCAAGAGCATTCGCACTGCTGCAGCGGCTGTCGGAGGCCGGTGCACAAAGGACCACGAATCGCAAGTTTATCCCAACCGAGCCTTTGCTTGTTATGCATCAATTCCTTTGACTACCACGACGAGTTGATCAGCGAGCTGCATGTCAACTGCTGCGATCAGCCTGCAGTCGGTCCATGCTGCGTCCTATCATGCAGTCCAACCTGTTATCTGAAAAATCACGATTATAGCTGGTGTTCATCAGCATGGAACAGCATGGCGACCAGCGGCCCGCGATTGGCACAGGTCGGCAGCTGCGGTCCACGGCGAGGTTGCTGTGCGGCAACTCGCAACTACCTATAGCTATTGTGGGCTGCTCTGCAGGAGCGGCGACCGGCCACGCCGCGCCGCTGTCCGCGCCCGCACAACCATCGTCACCGCTTGTCGGTGTGTTCCTCGCAGCGCCCTCCCCCCCAGCACGAACCTTCACAAAGTCATTCTCGCCTGTCCAGCCGCGGACGGTCTGGCTGATTTTCGCCACCTCCTGCGATCCACGCGCGCCCGCGCCGCCCCGCCAGGCGTGCCCGTCGCGGAGGGCGTCGTTTACAAAACCACCCGCTTCACTGACGTCGTCGTGCAGCGGCGCGTGCGCCTTTTTTCCGACCGCCTGCAGACGCAGCACCTCGGGGGCGCGGAGGACGCGCCCGAGAAGACCTGGCTGCTGGACCGCGGCTGCAGGCTCGAGCCTGAGTCAGCGGATGACATGCAGCGGCAGCCTCGCACCATTCGGCCACCGGGCACTTGGACCGTGACGGCGGCGGCGACCGCCAAGGGGCAGCCTATCGAACTGGTGCGCCACCCAGGCTCGCGGGCGCGGGCGGCGGAGGGCGAGGGTGCAAAGACGGCAATGGCGGCGCCCATGCAGGCGGCCATCCAACATGCGGCTCCCCCAGGCGAAAGCGCGGTGCAGCAGAGCTCCAAGCTTATGGGGGTAATGCAGCCCGTCCGGCGGTCGTGCCGCGCAGCATTAGTATCAGCATCAACATCCGCGGTTCGATGCTGTCTCTTGCTGGCGGGTGCTCGCTCGGCTCTCGGCCCATCCTCTCGCGGCGCACGCATGGCGCCACCCAGCGCTGCCCCCGGCGACCCCCGATTCGCGCGCGCCCGCAGTTCTGCATTCAAGTGCACTGGCCGGCGAGCTGGCTAGCCACCAAGGCATACACTTCCTGCGGCCTCTGTTTCACGTCCCTAGCTGAGGCGCAGCACTGGCACGGCCTCATCGCGCGCCAGCTGGCGCTGCTGCGGCTGCGCGGCCCCAGCTACTCGCGCAGCGAGAGCACCGGCGCGCAGGGCGGGGCGCACGGCGCGCACAGCACACACAGCAGGAAGCCTTCGGACGAGGAGGGGCTGGGCGCGACGCCGCCGCCGTCGGGCGGGCTGCTGGCTTCGGGGCTGCTGCCGTCATCGCTGCGGCGCAAGCGGCCGGCGGGGGTGAGCGGCCGTCTCGGCCGGGGTGCGGTCGGTCCGGGTGACGCGGGTGGCGGGATAGAGGGGCCCTTTGCTGCCGCCAGCACTGACGACGCACCACCTCGCTTGCTGCCGCCGCAGGAGAGCCCACTCCTGGGGAGCGCGGCCGCGCCGTCGCTGGGGCTGGGGTTGGGGCTGGGGCCCAGCGCCACGGACGAGTCAGGTGGGAGGGCGCAGGACTGCAGCCCAGCGAGCGCGGGTGCGCCAGCATCATTGCCTAAGCAGGGTCAGGCATGGGCCCTCTGCTGGTGCTGCGTGCGCGTGAACTCCGCAAGGCACCCGTTTACAGCAGCTGCGACGCCTTGCGGCCTCCGCTGATGCCTTTGCAGACGCTGTTGGCGGCTCCGTTGGGGCCCTGTGGGGCGGCGCGGCGGCCATCCCCGCCGCGCGCAGCGGGGGCGGCGGCGCCGGCCGGACGCTCGGGAGTGAGGTGAGGGGTCCCTGCCACGCGGGCTTAAGGCGGTGTTCGTTGCGGCGAGAGGCGCTGGCCGCAGTTCTTCAGCAGAGGGACCAGGGGGTCCGGGGTGCCTCGCGGTGGGGCAGAGGTTTTGGGGCGCTGGCAAGGTCGAGCAGGAAGTCAAGCAGGCGGCCGGCCTTCCGCAGCCGAGTGTGGACGCATGCGCGGCCTGCTCGCAGCACAGCGTGGCGCTTGCATCATTGCCCGCTCTTTGCTGCCCTCTCTTTGCTGCCCTCTCTTTGCTGCGCGCCCACAACTGTGCACCCGTCCCTGTGCCCACCAGTCGTCCCTCGGAGCGCACGACGAGGATGAGGACGAGGACGAGGACGAGTCGGGCAGCTGGTCCGAGGATAGCGGCGGGTCCGGCTCCGGCAGCAGCGATTACGGCCCCGACGGCCTCGCCGCCGGCGGCTGGCCCGCCCCCGCGGCCGGCGGCGCGG